CCTAACCCCGTAGTGTAGAAAAGTCTCGGGGCAGATAAGCATGCCGGCTGTCAAACGGAGCTCTCAAAGGGCATATCCAAAACAATGACAAGAGTGGCCACTTGACTTAAGGGGATTATGGTACGTTTCCGGAGGCTGATCAGAGTGCAGTAATGCAACACCTCGTTCACACTGACGCTGGGGTGCTCCAGCGGGGGGACATCAAACGTTATTCTACTCGCCGAGGTGGAGTACCAGCAGCGCTGTAGCCATGGAGTCAGAGCGCTCTACGTGCCTTGCCAGTGTGGACGGGTAGTGAGCTAGTGCACCCGGGGCTCCTTTAATGCGCCGTAACTCACAAGTGTAGCCAAGCCCCAAGTGAAGTACTATGCACTTATGTTTACTGAATTTCATCTTGTTGAATTCAGGCCAGTTCTCCAATTTGTTGAGGTCTTTTTGAATTCTTATTCTCTCTTCCAAGTGCTTCCAATCTCTCCCAGGTTGATGTCATCTACAAATTTTATAAGCATGCTCTCCACTCCATTACCAAAGTCATTAATGAAAATACTGACTAGTACTGAACCCAGGACAAACCCCTGTGGGACCCAACCAGATACTTCTAGTTTGATAGGGAACCACTGATAACTACTCTCTGTATATGGTCTCTCAGCCTGTTGTGCACCCACCTTATAGCAATTTCATCTAAACCACATTTCCCAACTTTGTTTATGAGAATGGCATGTGGAACTGTCAAAAGCCTTACTAAAATCAAGATATATCACATCTACTGACAGGCCAGTAACCCTATCAAGTAAGAAATTAGGTTAATCTGGCATGCTATGTTCTTGACAAATACATGCTGGCTATTCTTTATAATCCTGTTGTCCTCTAAGTGCGTATAAATTAATTGTTTAATAATTTGTTTCAATATCTTCAGTATCAGGTATCGAAGTTGGGGGAATTATAGACCAGTCAGCCTAAGTACTCCTTGTTCCCCTTTTTAAAGAGAGGTAACATGTTTGCCCTTCTACAATCCAATGGGAGCTGACCTGTCCTCCATGAGTTCACACAGGTAACTGCTAATGGTTCCAAGATTGCTTCAGCTAGTTCCCTAAGTATCCCAGGATGAATTTCATCAGGCCCTGATGACTTGAATATATCCAACCTATCTGTTCTTTCCATATTTTGGCTTACATTTCTTCCTCCTTTGCTAATATAAGTTGTGTTGAGCATCTGGTCACCATTAACCTTTTAAGTGAAGAGTGAAGCATTAAACAGCTAAGCCTTCTTGAGGTTTTCAGTTATTACTCCTCCTTCTGCACTAAGTAGAAGACAACACTTTTTTTTCTTGCTCCTAATATATTCAAAGATCAGCTTTTTATTGCTTTTTATGTTTCTTGGTAGGTGTATCTCATTTTGTGCCTTAGCCTTTCAGATGTTGTCCTTACATGCTTGTGCTAGTCTTTTATACTCCTCCTTAACAATTTGTCAATGTCTCCATTTTTTGTAAGGTTCCTTTCAGATTTTCAGGTCATTAAAGAGCTCCTGATAGAGCAATATTGACCCTCCTTCTATTCTTCCTCTCTTTCCTTTCTATCAGGATAGTTTGCAGTTGTGCCTTTAATATCATCTCCTTGAGTACCTGCCAGCTCTCCTGAACTTTTCCCCTGAGATATTCTTCCCATGGGACCTTATCTGCCAGTTCTCTGAGTTTGTTAAAGTCTGCTTTTTTGAAGTCTGTGATTCATAGATTCATCGACTCTAGGACTGGAAGGGACCTCAAGAGGTCATCGAGTCCAGTCCCCTGCCCTCATGGCAGGACCAAATACTGTCTAGACCATCCCTGATAGACATTTATCTAACCTACTCTTAAATATCTCCAGAGATGGAGATTCCACAACCTCCCTAAGCAGTTTATTCCAATGTTTAACCACCCTGACGTTAGGAACTTTTTCCTAATGTCCAATCTAAACCTCCCTTGCTACAGTTTAAGCCCATTGCTTCTTGTTCTATCCTTAGAGGCTAAGATGAACTCATAGACTCATAGACTTTAAGGTCAGAAGGGACCATTATGATCATCTAGTCTGACCTCCCGCATGATGCAGGCCACAAAAGCTGACCCCCCCACTCCTGGAATAATTCTCTCCCTTGACTCAGCTGTTGAAGTCCCCAAATCATGATTTAAAGACTTCAAGTCGCAGAGAATCCTCCAGCCAGCGACCCCTGCCCCATGCTGCGGAGGAAGGCGAAAAACCTCCAGGGCTTCTGCCAATCTACCCTGGAGGAAAATTCCTTCCCGACCCCAAATATAGCGATCAGCTGAACCCCGAGCATGCGGGCAAGATTCTCCAGCCAGACCCTCCGGAAAATGTTCTCTGTAGTAACTTTTAATATCCCATCATTGACCATTGTTACTAATTACCAGCGATGGCATGTTATTGACCTATTGACTAAAATCACGTTATCCCATCAAACCATCCCCTCCATAAACGTATCAAGCTTAATCTTAAAGCCAGAGAGGTCTTTCGCCCCCACTGTTTCCCTCGGAAGGCTGTTCCAAAACTTCACCCCTCTGATGGTTAGAAACCTTCGTCTAATTTCAAGCCTAAACTTCCCGATGGCCAGTTTATATCCATTTGTTCTCGTGTCCACATTAGTACTGAGCTGAAATAATGAACAAGTTTTCTCCCACCTCCTTATGACACCCTTTTAGATACCTGAAAAATGCTATCATGTCCCCTCTCAGTCTTCTCTTTTCCAAACTAAACAAACCCAATGCTTTCAGCCTTCCTTCATAGGTCATGTTCTCTAGACCTTTAATCATTCTTGTTGCTCTTCTCTGGACCTTCTCCAATTTCTCCACATCTTTCTTGAAATGCGGTGCCCAGAACTGGACACAATACTCCAGCTGAGGCCTAGTTTATCGATAAGAATATCATGCGAGACCGTATCAAATGACTTACTAAAGTCTAGGTATACCACATCCACAAGATTAGTTTGACATGATTTGTTCTTTACAAATCCATGCTGGCTATTCCCTATCACCTTACCACCTTCCAAGTGTTTGCAGATGATTTCCTTAATTACTGGGATGATGGGGTGGACTAGGTCCAGAGGCCCCACCTCACCCCGCCCCAGAGAAGAGCAGAGGAGAAGTCCTCTAGGCAGCCTAGACTGGCTGCAGGGGAAGCAGCCAGAGGGACCAGGAAGGCCATATAAAAAGAAGCAGCAGAACAAGCAGAGCAGTCAGTTACTTCCTGGAGCTGGAAGAGGGAAGACCAGGTTCCTGGCTGGCTGGAAGAGCAGCAGGACAACAGACAGCTCAGTGTGAGCAAGACTGAGCCCAGGGAAGGCTGCCGAAGACTGAGGGAGCTAAGGAGGAGATCCTGGCAAGCTGCAGGGGCCAAGCAAAGACTGAGCCCAGAACCTAGCCAGACCGAGCGAGGGTACCGTGATGGGCCCTGTTGGACTGTTATAGAGGGCAGTGTCTCCAGGGAGGAAGCCTTGGCAGAAGGTAAAGACAGTATATCCCAGAAGGGGTTTGTTTGTTCTGTTCCACCTACAGACAGTGTGAGAGACTCAGCCGGAGGGCTGTCACTAAAGACCTGCCAAAGAAACCATCGACCAGAAGGGGGCGCTTGTGAGAAATGGATGCTACCCCATTACCACAAACCAAGAAACAGCAGTATCACATCTGACCAGAAGGGGCGCTCATGAGAGATGGGTGCCGACCCTGTTACCAAGTCCATTGTCCTTATTCTGTTGATCTCATGCCTTCCTTTCCTTGGACTCATGAAATGATCATTTCATGATCACTTTCACCCACCTTGAGACTCACTACCAATTCCTCCCTGTTGGCCAGAATCAAGTCTGTTCCCTGGTTACTTCCTCCACTTTCTGAAATAAAAAATTGTCCTCAATACATTCCAAGAACTTATTAGAAATCTTATGTTTTGCTGTATTACTTTTTCAAAAGATGTCTGGATAGTAGAAGCTCCCCATCAGTGTCAGGTCTTGTGTTTCGGATATTTCTGTTATTTGTTCTAGAAATGCCTCATCCGCTTCCTCTTCCTGATTTGGTGATCTATTGTAGACCCCTACCATGATGTCACCCTTATTTTTTTTACTTGTTTCTCTTTACTCAGAGACTTTCAACTGGTCTGCCTCTTTTACTCAGAACAAGTGTATATATTCTTGAGGTTTAATGCAACACCTCTTCCCTTTTTATCCTGCCTGCCCTTCCCGAACAAGCTATACCCTTAATACCAATATTCCAGTCATGAGACTTCTCAACAAGTCTCTGTGACACCAGTTAAGTCATAATTTAGCACATGGACTAAGACTTCCAGTTATTTATGTTTATTCCCCATAGCCCTTACATTTGTGAATAGTCAATTAGTTGTCAAGCAGATTTCCTCACTAATTTCCCTCTTGTTCCTCCTATGACCCTATCGTAAGTTTCCATGTCTCTCCCCCCCCCCCCCCCCACCCCCAACAGCTAGCCTTCTGTTAAGGTCATTTCTTTTTTACACTTTGGGCTTTTGTCTCCTGCCCCTTTTAATCTTGTTTAAAGCCCTATATATTAGAAATATATTTTCCACCCACCACCCAACTTTCATTAAGAAAGCTGAACTTTTTGATCAATTTTCCAAACACAACCTCAAGGAGAGTGGCTTGGAAAATGTCTGCCTGAAAGCTGACAGTTACAAGCAGATAAAAAAGAATCAGAATGGAATCATTTAGGCAATATTATACTTGAGAGCTATATAGAAAGTCACTAAGGTGTGACAATCAGCTGGTCTGATACTTCCCCATAACACATGGAAGCAGGAACTAACCCATTTGGCCTGGGCTTAGATATTGTGGTGATAGCCACTGTACAAAACTCTAAGCTACACAGGTACAAGTGACATTGGAGAACTGGAAATCACGACTCCAGGCACAAGACAATTAAATGAGTGTCCTTATTTTTTCACCAAAAACAGAGTAACCAGCTGAAAACCAGCATGATAGTGAGTCTCTTAAACAATTCTATTGTCTGTAGGAAGTCCCTTACCTTCATTGTATGGTACTGGATTGCCAATATTTGCACCAACCACATCAGCTGTTTTCAGAACATCTAAATCCATCAATATAATCACTCTCCTACAAACACAAAGCAAGCAACAGTAAAGACTCTTGACATCTTCCTGGACACTATATAGCCCTAGGCTATAAATGAGTCTTTTGCATACACACAGGCACTGCAATCACTACAGAAGGCAGATTTCCTGAGGAGGCACTGTCAAGAAGAAACACTCCATTATCAACCAGAGATTTAACCAATGCAGGTAGAAGTGGTGTAGACTGAAACAATACAGCACTTAATCAGGAAGAGTAGATAGCCATCTGAATGATGCACATGATGTTGATATGTAGTGATACCGTCAACATTATTGTAGGAGCACATAAAATGTGCTACATTCCTTACAACTCTGCCCCAAATGGCATAAAACTAAATACAAGTGAGTGTCAAATAGAAAAGGTGGATTGGGGAGAAAGAGAGTGACAGCAAAAGTTAACACAGTTACACATTCATGCATGTACACAATCTTGAAGGTTTGTTACCCTACCTTAATTTGCAATAGAAAGTTCAAGTACTTTATCATCTTAATACAAAAACAATCATCACCAGGGCATGTCCTCATTCACACCCTCACCAGGTAATTTTCAGTGACTGAATTAATTAACGATTATGCAGTTGGATGCATTTTATCCAGTTATTTCCATTTAATAATAAATGATACAGAGAATTTGAAGCGTCAGTTATTGGTCATCGGGGGTAACATACTACTACACAGATATTAATATCTGCAACTAAGCACATTGCAGCCAGGTACAGCAACTTTTATCTCTGCCGCCCTCAAACAGCCATCACGATTACATGATGTGTCAAGAGAACCACATGCCTCCTCCCTCATGCACCATACACACCCCAATGGATACACCTATTAATAATCTCAGAACAACAGCACTTGACCGCTCATCATTTATGTGACATGCAGCAGCATCCACTAGTCAGATGCATTTGTGTGCACATATCTAAATATACATGAATACCTTCCATCTTTCAGGCTGTTAACAATGTATCTGTTAACCTGGCAGATACAGTGGGCAGACAAGCGCTCCTCTTCAATTAGAGAATTCAGCTGTGTAGCCAACATGAAAGCTGCAAAAAACAGAAGAAAAACCCTAAAACAACCAGTATATGCAGCCCTGAAAAGATGGCCATCATAGCTAACTGCAATCAATCCATTCAGGCCACTGGTCCTGCATAGATCTAAGGCCTGCCCAGTTAATCATCTCACACAAACCAGTGCAATCACAAGTGAGAAAGTGTGAATATATCTCTGGAACATAAATCACATATTAACTCTCTAAAGTTTGAGAGCAAGAATACAACACCCTTGCAATGATATTTTGCCTAGTAGCCCAACCCACTGAAGTAAAATGTATGCAGCAAATTAGAAAAAGATAGATTAAGATAAGCTGCTAAATGATTCTTGGACCCCACCACTATTAGTATAGTCCACTAATCACTGTTCTATATGACTGAGCTGTTCTCCATAATTAACATGAATTTTTGGACGCTCTGCAACAACTCAAAAAAGATGGATTTTGTTTGTAAGATTAAAATGCAATTCTAGATCCCAGAATCTAAATAAATAAATTCTACATCCTTCACACACTCCTTTGGAACTTAGTTCAGCAGCAAAAACCACTCTGTCATTAATTCTGACAATTGGGTGCAGTTATTAGCCATGCACTTGAAAATTCTCATCCCTATGCATTACTTACAGGAGAGCGTGTTCACCCCATCGCTCATCAGCACACGGTAACGAGATGGCCCATTTCCTGTGGCGATGGCACGGATGTTCTAGAAGAAAACACTTGAATTCTTAGCCCTTATCTGATTTTACAGGCACACAGAGACAAAGTACGAGATCACACCTATTGGGGAGAGCTTACTCAAAGCAGAAAACTAAGATAGACAGATGACAAGCAATTAAAGCCTATCTCAGATGGACTAAAACATGCTTGCTCAGATTCATGCCAATGAGCCTTTCAGTGCTCCTTTGCTCACCTACAAGGCTTCCACCTCTTCATGTCCGAATTGGATTGTAAACTCATCACCGGTCGGGGGTGGGTGTGAGTCCTTATCTTTATGGACTTGTAGATCAGCACGTACAATTTATAATTACACTAAGCTATGGATAATAGGAATAAGATGACACTTGAGGGAATACTCACAATGACTTGGAGGACAGGCTTTAAATTATTTTCTCCCTGCATTATGGCCTGTAAAGGAAGATAGAGGATTTAATGCTTTTGATTGGAAAACATTTTTAAAGCTTTGTGACTGAGGAGATTAGCAAACAAATAACTGGACTGATTATAATAAATTGTTCCCAAAACGAGGAATCAAACTTGGTTAGCGTGCCAACAATGTGAACATCCTCAAAATTTCTATTTGTTGTACGAGTGCATCCTGATACAAGGAAAAGGACAGACAATTTGTTGAGAGAAGCATTTCACCTCAGAAATCCCTGCACTTTATGGGAAGTGACAGGCTGATTTACTAGTTCATCAATTCTCACACAGTGGCCTGTCGAGCACTTTCAGGCAGCCTATGGAGCTGCTGCAAGTAGTTATACTTCCTACAAATTGTAACTTAGCCAAGGACCCTAGAGTTCCCAAAGCCCATCTCTTCCCTTGTCATGTTTCTCTCTCTGTCAAGTGTGGGCAAACTTTTTGGCCTGAGGTCCACATCTGGGTATGGAAATTGTATGGCGGGCCACGAATGCTCATGATTGGGGTGCAGAAGGGGGTGAGGGCTTCAGCTGATGGGTTGGGGGTGCAGGAGGGTGCTCTGGGCTGGGACCAAGGGGTTCGGAGGGTGGGAGGAGGATCAGAGCTGGGGCAGGAGCTTGGGGCGTGGGAAGAGATCAGGAGTGCAGGCTCTGGGCACGCTTACCTCAAGCAGCTCCCAGAAGCAGCAATGTGTCCCCGCTCTGGCTCCTCCACAGAGGCGCAGCTAGATGGCTCTGTGCGCTGCCCCATACAGAGGCACTGCCCCTGCAGCTCCCATTGGCCGTGGTTCCAGGCCAATGAGAGTTGCAGGGGCGGCACTTGGAGCAGGGGCAATGTGCGGAGTCCCCTGGCTGCCCCTACGCATAGGAGCCGGAGAGTGGGACATTCCAGTGCTTCCAGGAGCCGTATGGAGCCACAGCACACGCGGAGCAGGGCAACCCCCCCCCCCCAACCCCACTCCCCGGCTGGAGCACCGGAGCGGAGCAAGCCCCAGACCCCACTCCCTGGCAGGAGCTTGAGGGCCAGATGTGGCCCCTGGGACGTAGTCTGCCCACCCCTGCTCTTTGTTGTGCATTTCTCCTGTGTTGCATTCAAGTGTGATCAAATTGGCAACCACCAGAACCATAGTAGTCGTAAACACACGCAGGGACAGAACCAGACCACAAACAGTATCCAAGAGATAGGGCAGAGCGCGCTATGGTTAACGAGATAGATTCAGTCCCAATGTGGTCAATTTATTTTTTTTGTTATACTTTGTAGAGTTGTTGCTGACTCTCTTTTGCTCATATTAATTGTACATTTAACCAATGTCAGAGGTACACTGAACATATGACAGGCACTCCCTTCTAACTTTATAAACCTCAAAAATAATAGGAGTGAAATTATGGACAGGCAGCAAGAATAAACAGCTCAGATACAGAAAGGTGGGGTTATAACTAACCAGCTGCTCCACCACTTTAAAGAAGAGTTTGCGTTCATAGAAATCCACAGCCAGACAGATACTATCCAGCTATAAGTTCAGGGCTGGAAAGGGAGGTATGGCTGATAGGGATCACTGAGGAGGTGGCCATGGAGTGGAAGAATGTAACAACCTGGGGGTGTAGTGAAGGGGTTCTCAAACTGGGGGTCACAACCCCTCTGGGGGTCATGAGATTATTACATGGGGGTCATGAGCTGTCAGTCTCTACCCCCAAACCCCGCTTTGCCTCCAGCATTTATAATAGTGTTTGATATAAAAAACTTGTGTTTAATTTATGAGGAAGGGGTCACACTCAGAGGCTTATTGTGTGTAAGGGGCCACCAATATAAAAGTTTGAGAACCACTGGTGTAGTGAAAGCAGCAACTTGGCCCCAGTTGCCCCCAGGCGCTTCTGAGAAAACTCGGGGAACCTGCCCTACCAGAGATTAGTTACAACAGTCGGGGGCGTACACTACCCTGCCTAACCTCTACGGGGGCAACAGGACAGGCACAGAAAACCCCTACCCCATCCCTAGGAAATACAGACCACTACACTGCCCCCCGCTCCCTCCCACACACCCCGCAGCTCCTCTCCGGACCTTCCCCCCCACATGCCCCGCTCCAGGTTCCCCCTTCCCCCCCCACATGCCCCACCCCACAGCTCCTCTCCGGCCCTTCTCCCCCACATGCCCCACCCCGCAGCTCCTCTCCAGCCCTTTCCCCCCCACATGCCCTGCCCCGCAGCTCCTCTCCGGCCCTTTGCCCCCCACATGCCCCGCTCCGGGTCCCCCCTTTCCCTCCACATGCCCTGCAGCTCCTCTCCGGACCTTCCCCCCCCCCACATGCCCCGCCCCACAGCTCCTCTCCGGACCTTCCCCCCCACATGTCCCCCTCCAGGTCCCCCCTTTCCCTCCACATGCCCCGCCCCACAGCTCCTC